ATCTGTCTCCCTTTGCTCTTTTTTGTGCTCTATTTATTTATTAGCATACACTTATTGTACAAAGGAATTTCATTGTGATCTTTCCATACAATGCATAATTCATTGAACTTTGATACAAAATCAACCCTCCAATTACCTGTTGTTCCCCCATCTGCCCCTTTTTTAATTTTTATTTTTTTGGTGATACTAGGGTTTAAACTCAGTGCCTTGTGCTTGCTGTAAGATGCTCTACCCTCACGCCCACCTCCAGTTTTTTTTTTTTTTTTGCTTTAGTTATCTTTTGAATCAGGTCTCAAATTTATGGGACCGGCTTTCCACATAATACACTTATTTATGCTTCCCATGGAGTAGAGTGACAGGCATGTGCGCACCACTTCTAGCTTAGATTAGTTTAAGATGGGGTCTCACTAACTTTTGCCCAGTCTGTCCTGAAACACAATCTTCCCAATGTCTACCTTCCATGTACCTGGAATTACAGGTGTGAGCCACTGTGCCAGCTCCTGTCCTCTGATCTTAGAGCAATATAATGAGTTTCATTATTCTATTTGCGCATACTGCATATGAAGTAGTTTGATCTTACACCCTCTCCTTTTATGCTGTTAATGTCCCACTGCCAAAGAGCTCCCCTTTGTACTTGTTTCATTGCTCTTTTTGTATGAGCCTTCCTGCTCTGTTTATACTTCATTCGGCAGTAGAAAAGTGTAAGTCATCCTCACCATAGAGTCTCCCAATAGACTCATGGCCGTGTCATTAACTCCCAAGTTAACAGTGCATCCACAGTACTTGCCAATTTTTCGTGTTACTAATTTTCATGCCACCATATCACATGCGCTCATAAAGTGTTTTGTTTTTACTGTACTTCCTAACAAGTATATTAAATTTGTGCAGTTATATTGTGACTGAAAGGAAAGATGCTAATGCTTGTTACCTCATATTTTTTACTCAGTTTTATTTAAAAGCTAAAGGCCTTAACATAAAGGCCCAAAATTCATCTACGTTAGGTTTAATGTTTTTAAGGAAACTTAAAATACCAAAGTGTTGCTGTTGGTTCTGTCCGAGTAAACTGTTCATTTCTGCCTTTCATAATGACTTATGTCCAAAAGTATTAATATTGAATATGTGAGGTGAAATATACAAGGGATGAAAAATTATTAGTATGCATAGAATTTAAAGTTACTTAAGGCTTTTAGAAGGTGAATTACTTAGTCTACATTTGCTTGAATACTTCTAGTCTAAAACTTATTTTCCTTTTTATCTTCATAGAAGAGGACAATTTAAATGGGTTTTATCTCAAGAGTTCCAGAAGAGGTAAAAAATGAATAGAAACCACTCTGGAAAGGAATCCATTTTGAAGTTCAAATGGAATAAGCTATCTTAATTTCTTTTAAAAAAAATCTAACTTCATAATTAATGCTATTTATATTTATTATGTAAATAAAGCATAAGGTGTCTGACAGCCTGTGATAACCACTTATTTCCAAGCATGACAGATTATGTGAAAACAAAGGGGCTGAACAAAAATGGAAGGGTTATGATGTGTATATGTATTGAGGAAGAGGATAGTACTTTGGGGAGTGCCATTTATATGAGAATCTGGGTTTTTTGTGGCATTTTGGATGGGTGACCTGAGTCTCATGTATTTGGCAATAGCATTAATGAAGGTCTGGTTTACAAAGGCTAGGAAGAAAAATGCAATTAGCTACAGAATGAGGTGATGCCTGCCATTTGAGGGGAAAATTGATACCTTATGATAGAAACACCAAATGACACTATCAGCAAAAAAAGTCTGTTTGAGTGAGTGTGTGTGTGTGGTGTGTGTTGTGGTGTGTATCATGTCATCATCTTAATTCCATGGAATTTGATTTGACCAAAAAGTCATTTCTTTGAGAATGCTTAGTTTATGTGATATATTTGTACCTGTACTAGGAAATGACCTGGTTAAGTCAATGAATTTGTAACTCATAACAAAGCAATCTCACCAACCTGCATTTGCAATACTGCTTCTACTAAAGAAATTATAAAGGACATTGTTTAAAAGATAGTTTGCTCTATTTTTGGTCTTATTTTTTTCTGCACAAACCATGCATCCAGAATAGAGAACCATATTTGATCTCTCAATTTGGTCAGGCCCAAAGATGATCAATCTCCTTAACAGCAGATTACCTGGTGTTAGACAATGAATACTTGGTTACAAAAGCAGTTTTGTGTTGAGAAGTAGTGGTACAACTGTAAGAACAAGCTTTCCTCTTTGGGGATCTCTTACTCATCACAGATAGGTGACCGAGCACATACCTCCAGAGATCAGGGTGCACTGAAAGGGAAATGGGCCCACACTGAAAAGCAAATTAGTTCTCACAAACTTTCCAATCAAATGTGTCCCTCCACAGTTGTTGGACAGAATTCACAAAGATGACTCCAGTGGCTATACTTCCACATGGAAACCCAGTACTAGTCACAAGGGCTCCCTCCCAAGAGATATATTTTCTAATATATGTGTCATAAGTAATAGGTAATTTCAGCCCCCTAAAATCTCAAATCTGAGGTTGTCAATTGAGCAGTTTTTAGTTACGATGGAGTAACCCTTCAGTTGAAACTACTGGAACATCTAATCTCATTCTGGCAAAAAAATAATCTTTCCTACAGCTATACAGATAACTTACTAGTTAGGAAAAGGTACAAGTGTGGATAACAGGAAGTTAGATTAGAAAGGTCAAATCAAATTTCCTGAATAAGACTTTCTATTTTATTTCTAGTTTGAATTACACAAAAGCAAAAAGTAATCAGAGCACTCAGTTCTAAGCCTATTCTTCATGCCACTAACAATGTTCCTGCCATTTCTGTGGAAATTACAGTAATTTAGAGGGTATATTCTTGTGTGTTTTATGAATTATTGTTTTATATTTTTGATATTTTTATAGTTGTATTTGAAAATTAGAGAATATAACAAATAAAATATTGATTAAATTGCATCAAATGTAATTAAAAATATAATTGTTAGTGAGAAAATAGGTGATTTATACTTTAACATAACTAATGATATTTGAAGTGTTTATAATGTAGCAGGTGGAGAAAGATTATATAGTCAGTACATTAAGAATAAAAAATGGGCTGAGGGCATGGCTCACATGGCAGAGTGCCTGACTAGAAAGTGCAAGGCCCTATGTTACAACCCGAACAACAAAGAAAACAAAACAAAAAACTAATGTGAATTTCCAAAGATATTTTGGGGTAGCATCAGACATCACAGTTATTTTTACCAGACTAAATGAATAGATTGTGTATTATGTATGATTTTATTGCTGAAAGATTATTCAAAATGAAAATACTTTTTTGACAATTAAGAATCTAAAACAAATGTTCTGTCTTAACATTTTACTCCCCTGTTAAAAACTTACTGATTTTATATCAGTGTTCAGAATGAAATCAAAAGTATACTGTAACAAATTAGTGTGGCTCTTTGTTTCCCTGTTGTCTGTGTTTTGACTTTTGTCTTCCCCAATTTTTACAGACTGCTTATAGATTAACTATAATGATTATAGTGAGCTCAACACTTGTAATTCTTGCTGTATTATTTTAGTGGTTATTTTAACGAGTTCACAGTATTCACTTTATCACAATACTTTCAAGTAGTGGTTTAGAACATTACATAATAGATTTAAGAACAGTAATACTTCCATTACTTTACCTTCTTCTTTAGGGCTATTATTTGTAATACTGTTCTACTTGTGTTACAATGCTCTGTTTTTTTTTTT